AGCAGAAGAGTGAATACATATATCAGAAGAACAGAAAGGGAAAATAACCATCGAGTGACGATAAGAATATGTATATTGAAAGATGACAACTATTGATATGAGATTAGGTTAACTACTTCCTAACAAGGATCATTCTGTGATCACTCGCTACACATCGGAAGATGAGTGAATGAAGAAAAAAGATGTAACCAGTACTATTGTGCCGTCGCCGCCAAATGTGAATGCGTTTTTCTCTGATCGATATAAAAAATCCATCTAAGTGCGTTTAAAATACTGAATAAAATTGAGATGCGTCTAAACTACCTTCAGCTTTTTAAAAAGCAAGATGCGTGCGAACATACTTTTCTCTCATTGAGATAAAAAAGCTCGTTTAGAAGCGCCCTTAGGACCACCTTGATTTGAAAAACGCGTTCGGACACGATATTTTTGGAAAAATTAAAGAAAAATACGTCTGAACGTTTCTATCGAAAATTTTTCCAGTGAGTAAAGAATTGAAACTCATACTAGTATACTAGGGCAAAAAAGAAAATTCGGAATAACAATGAAAAAAATACAAAATTCATGCCGTTACACCCGTATGTCCCTTCCAAGGGACATCATGTATCCACGCAGCAAAGCAACGTCACTTAAGTCCAGATATAACAATGATGTACCGAAGAATTGTAAGCTTCAATGCAGTAATTATTTCAGCTGCAGCTATAATAAAAGTGTCTTCGGGTTAAACGGCGAGTTCTGATGGGGAAATTGAGAATTATGGGCGGATTTCCGAGTTTTTCGCTCCTGATTTAGAAAATATGAATTTTCTCAGTAACAAGGCAAATTGGAAAAAGAAAGCGATCTAGCCTTTCAGAGCTCGGTCAATAGAGGTTCTAATAAAGTACAAAAATCGACTTCATTTCTTCACAGAAAAAACTAAATAGGTTTGCAAAATTATTTATGAACTTTTCATAATAGGGGTCCAAGTCGTCCATATTGAATAGGCCTCTGACTTCGACTTCGACCAAGCATCATTCTCATACTCAGTTTTTAATGCTGAATCTAAAAAAGATACTTTCAAAAAAAGTTTGAAACACGAGAAAGAAAAGAATGTAATTTTTTTTGAAACTGAAGGATTTTTTCAATTGTCTTCGTTAAAAATATTTTTCAAACGTCTGTGTAAGCTTAAGATAGTGTCCTGAAAGAAATATTTGATAATTTTTAAATAAATTTTCAATATTTATTTAAAATAAATAATGATGTCATATGGACATCTGATACGCGAATCTCAAATATCACTGAAATAAGTCATGTATAATTAGAAACATTATGTGCGCCTTATAAAAGTGAAACAGAGCCATATTGAAAAAATATGGGTATAAAATTGATTTTTATTTTTCTTATCTTATTCTTGCTCTTTCATAGTATTATCTATATAAATTGCACTTTTGACTGATTGAAAAAACCTCCTATACAGTTTATAATTATTGATATACGGTTATTTCAGACGAAAATATGGCGGTAGTTGTGGCTTTGTTATTGAGTTTAATGTCAATTTTAATGGTAACCGAATCAACATCTGCAATATTCAGCAGTAGTGACAAAAGTAAGTCCATCTGAGTCCTTACTGATATTTGCTGAATATAGCTGAGGATATAAAATACAAAGTAAATTATGTCTATCGAGGGAAACTTTCGTGCTGTCCCCTTCCGATTCCAGTGATTTGTACACGGATCGATAGACCTCAGTGAGGTAGTAAATACCCTAAAAGGATTCGTGCCCATGACTCCCGAAGATCCGGTTTTCTGAAAAGCCAGTTGTTCAAGAACTCTAAAAAATAACCGAAACCGTTTTTTAATGATGCATGATTGTAGCCACCAAATTTCTGATTAAAATGAGTCATCCCTCAACTCTGCACCACCTTTCTTTGCGAAGTTATAAATCTTACAAGAAAAGTCCTAAATGTTCATTGTCAGCTGAAAGTTACAGAAATAAGAAGAAATTAATTTAGGACTTTTCTTGTAAGATCTATAACTTCGCAAAGAAAGGTCGTGTAGAGCTGGGAGATGTCTCATTTTAATCAAAAATTTGGGGGCTACAATCACGCGTCATTAAAACAGTTTGAGTTATTTTTTAGGGTTCTTGAACAACTGACTTTTCAAAAAATCGGATCTTCGGGAGTCATGGGCACGAATCAATTTACCTCACTGAGGTCTATCGATCCGTGTACAAATCATTGGAATCGGAAGGGGACATCTAGAAAGGTTCCCTCGTTAGCAGAGCATCAGTTGAAGATCATGTCGACTTCTCGATTCATTTTAGATTATATGGATAAATTATGTAACTCAGTGATTGTATTAGATGGTGAAAAAAAGCCGGGAAGTTCGTTTTCTTCTACAAGTAACAGTAAATATAAACCAAATACAAACTGCACCCTCACATTTAAAACAGCACAGACAACTCAAAGAATAATTACAACAATCGAAAAAATCGATATTGCTGATTCAAATGGTGCTACATGTGGCGATTATATTAAAATTTACGATGGTAAATTTCAAGGACCGATATTGAACAAAAATTTGGCCGAACAATGTGGTTCATCAACTAGCAGTCATGTGGTATGTTATAAATAAGTACATAAAGTATAAAGTATCGTGTTAAGCCTCACATATGCTAAATTTGTAGAGCATATCAAATGTGGTGGTATTTCACTTTTTTTCCAATGGTGCCAAGGAAGCTACTGGATTTAAAGCAAGTGTAGCTTTACATTTTCCACGTAAGTAAAAGAAGTATAATACATAGCGATTGAAAATGTATCTCATTTATTCTTAAATGCTTTAGTTGTTCAAGCGTGTCCGCAAGATCTTGGGGTCTATCTATGCACCAACAAAAATTGCATATCAAAATTATTAAAATGCGACGGTCATAATCATTGCGGCGATAATTCTGATGAAAAAATTTGCAGTATTGGAAAAAAATAATTTTTACCAGAGGATAACGTTTTTGTGTTCTACCGTCCGAATAGATTTTTATCGTGTTCTATGAACTAGTATATACTATTATCCTGATTGCAATAAATAAAGTACTTTAGCTATTCTGGTTGTTTGAATTAACGATAGTATCAGTGATTAAGTTCTGAGGTAATCGTGATCGACTATTGTATATCTATAAACTTACTTCGCTTGCGTGAACTGCAAGAAGAACTCGAACCAAATAAAACTTTTACAGGCAGACGTCATTTTGGGCTAAAGTCTAATTAGACGTGTTAGTCAATCGTTCGGTTGGCGGCGCACAATGTGCATCCGGATGGACATTTGGCAAAATCGGAAAGTGACAGATGCAAACAGATAGAAATATACTTTAACATGTGGGCTATCCATTGTCATAAAAGGTTTGGTTTCAACCACTAAGCATCACTGGAAAACATGTAGCAGAAAGTTAGCCTCGAAATACAGGCCTTAAGAATAAAAAGATTGTTTTCTACATTCAACAGGGATATGATTAAAAATGGTGCTGATTTTGCATCTTTGACCTATGTAATAGGGAAGGAACTTTAGCTTTGACTGCAGACTAGAGAAGAAATCACGGAGTTTTCCGGAAAACCTAAGTTTCTGTACAGACATATGTCGTAGAATATGTTTTCACCGCTGTCCCTTATCCGCAAATTCTCAAATTTTGTCACATTGTTCCTTTATCTACGCCACATAGATACTGCATGCGCAAAACTGCACAACTGTTCCTATGCCGAGATACAAGTTTTGGAAAAAAATCTAATTTTTTCAGCCCAGGGACATTTGTGACAAAAACTAATAGCATATTCGGAATCAGCTCGTCAAACGGATGCGAACCATACATAACACTATAAGTTTTGGATCGAAAAAATAGCTACCGAAACTTTCTTATGTACCTACAAAAATGATTTTTTCTGAAAACGTTTATATTTTCTTTAAAAGCGTCGCAGACGACTAAAGAATGGTAAATTACGTATGAAAACACCGATTTACCAGCAAAAACTTTTGATGTCCGTGTGTTATTAAAAAAAATGCATACTGTGAGGCTGTGACACGAGACCTCTGCATGTAATCAAATCACTAGTATAATCTAAGTGCATTTAGAATGTTTCCATCTCAAATTTATTTTGAATGGGTAATTATTGATTGCGATTCTTTTGCAATGTATTTAATGCAAAGTGATGCTGCCGATCAAAAACGTCTAAGTCTAACAACAGCATCCCTTGGCCGTTAGATCAATAGATACGTTATAGGAAGCATGGTTCTTCGTTTGAAAAAAAATGTTAGAAAAGGACAGATTGCTTCACGTGCTTATTCACGTGATATAAACGTATATATATATATATATATATATAAGGCATTTTATTTCTTAAAAGTAGACTACTTTTATACTCGAACTTTTTGCAGTTTATATCTGCTTTTTGAACCTTTTTAAAGTAGAACTAAAGTGAGTCTGAGGTGAATGATTGACCCTGATTGCATTATGTTCCCGAAGAGAAAACCGGGTAAAACATGATGAAATCAGTGTCTCAGCTATCATAAGAAACTTTCCTTTTAAGCGACTCTTTTATATCAACGGTTGTTATTGCACAGATTTTCTGCCAACAAGTGGAATAGATTTTCAAGTTCGAACAATTAATCTGGATGATAAACAGATCAAATTAGTTTTTTCGGATACCGCTGGGCAAGAAAACTTTTGATCGCTGGTTAATAATTATTTTCGAGGATTTTTCATTCTTTTCTGTGGCATATACGGACTTAATTAATCTGTGAAAGAGATGTGTCTCAAAAGAAAACTTGTCCAAAAATCCGATAGTGTAACATTGTGACTAGCGAAAATGAGACCTACTTAGATAAGGGAACAGAGAGCTGAATTTGCTGTGTACACCTGAATTTACTACCTGCCTCTTTATTCATACTGATTTTTTGTGTATGGGACTTTCGCGGGACTTTTTGTGGAGTCCCGTAGGATTCCTTGCGGAGTGAGTCGACCGGAGTCCCGACAAAAAATAAAATTTTTTGTGCATGGGACTCTCGCGAGACTTTTTGTGGAGTCCCGTAGGACTCCCTATGGATTTTTTGAGAAAAAAAAGTCCCACGGGAGTTTTTTACAAAACAGGACTCCCACGGGACTTCTGCTGGGACTCTCGACTAGGAAGTCCCAGGATTCGATCAGAAACTCTTTGTAGAAGATAGAATGCCAAAAAATCGGATCGGATCGGTCGATACTAGCTCCTTAAAGAAATCCCACCGTGCTTTATATATATGTATATATATTTGAAAAAACATGTCCTTGATACAAAAAGCAAAACGGATAAAATTACAACAGATATGTCTCATTCGCAGTTGTTTACTCTGTTCTCCTTCATGTTGCCGGAAAGCAGATGTGTCATTCTCCGTGTGAGGCCAAGAGAACTCTAACTGTCCCATGATTTGTATCAAAAGCTCTCACCAATCTACCATGGTGAAAAAAAGATCCGGAGACTTCATTGACATCAGTGTTGTAATCTCATACAAGCGTCCCAGATTTTTCTCTAAAGCTTTACTTCTTTTTTTTCACTCTCTCGACGACCCGATTCAAATGGACAACGCAATTGAACACCTGTTCGGTACCAATCATAATTGTTTCGGACACCTCTTTTAATTCGTCTCATTCGTGCTACGATACTGATTGACCCGAGATATCATATCTTGTTTGTCATTTTACAACACTTGTTCCATAACACTGTTACATGGTGTAGAAAAAATGACGCAGTTAGTTTATTAAAAAGAACTCTATGCGAGAAGAATAAAAACAGAAGCCACTTGCGCATCTGTCAGAAAAAAAACACCATTGCAACGGGTATCGTACGGTTTTCCTATTCTTTCTTGACAAAAGTCTGATTGTTCTCCTCAGGAAAATGCTCGTTTTCTTGTGTTCTGTACAGAAAGAAAAAATCTGAAGAAAAACAGTCTTACTATTGAGTACCTATTTTACCGATATACCTATTTTTCGGCTGTCATGACGTATTTCTGCACACGGAAAGTACAACGAAAGTAACATCATTTATTTGCGTGACGTAATATCACCACTTCGTTTACCTATTATATTTATTCATGACATATGACTCGTGATCTCTGATTGGACAGAGCGTCTCTTTTCAGATTAATGTTTTCTATTTTTATTATGACACGATAATAGATGAGCTTGGGAAATCGAACAGAACAGAACAAATGACGGGAAGGAATAAACATTAAAGGTATGAACCGATCTTCCGTTCTCGCGTTTTTCTTCGTTCTCCTGTTATTGCGAAATTCAGACATTTACCTATAAAAACTAGAGACGTTCACACGAGAGTAACAGTCGTTGTCGTTTGATATAAAGTAAGTTACTCGCACGAGAAGTCCATTCCACTCTATTCACAAAAAGAGGAAACTGTTGGTTGGCTCGATTACCAGATCAAAAACCAGCAAGCTTATATTTTGTCCCGCGACTTCTACCCACCTCCTTACAAATATATGACTTTTGTCGCCAGTAATGCAAACAGCAGTAGCAACTGGTTTGATGAAACAAATGCCAAATTGTGGCCTGGTCAAAAATTTTCAATTGAAATCGATAAAATTCTCCATCAGCAACGATCCAAATACCAAGATGTGCTCGTTTTCAAGAGGTAAGCACAGATCATCATTCTTTGGCCGATATTCACATGTCTATCTTCGTTCTCGTAGCAAAACGTACGGCAATGTACTCGTATTGGACAATTGCATTCAATGTACCGAACGAGACGAGTTTGCCTACCAAGAGATGGCTGCCTTTCTTCCTCTACTCGCACATCCCAATCCGAAACGGGTATGAGCGTCATTAGAAATCATTTTTTTTTTCATACTCGCTATTACCTTCAGGTACTGATCATTGGTGGAGGCGATGGCGGTGTCCTTCGTGAGGTTGTCAAACATCCACAGGTGGAACAAGCTGTGCTTTGCGAGATCGATCAAGTACTGTGTATTCCTTTGTGTTTTTTTTCAAATTTTTTATAAGTTTTTTTTCATAGGAGGTGATCGATGTGAGCAAGAAGTATCTTTTGAAGATGGCCAAAGGTTTTCAAAGTCCAAAGACCACGATCAATATTGGCGACGGTTGCGAGTATCTCAAACAGCACAAGAGCGAGTTCGATGTGATCATTACTGATTCATCGGATCCAGAGGGTACATTCGATTTTCTAAAACGGGTTGTCGTACGGAAAAATCGTTTACTTTTCTATCGTAGGTCCAGCCGAAGCTTTATTCGAAGAATCATTCTACGTATTGATGAAAGCAGCACTTAAGCCGCCGCACGGCATCATCTGTTGCCAAGGTAGAATCGTCTCTCCCCTCCTATGAAAACTATTTCTCTTCTTCGACATAGGGGAATGCATCTGGCTGGATTTACCTCTGATCAAAAAATTGATCACTATTGGTCGTCACCTCTTTCCATCGGTTGCCTATGCGAATGTATGGACGCCGACCTATCCATGTGGCACGCTCGGTTTGATTATCTGCGGTCTGAACAAAGTGAGTTCCCATTTCGGCACAATTTTTCTCATGTTTTTCTTAATCCTACTAGGATGCTAAATTAACCGAGCCGAGCGATACAAAGTTAGCCAACGAACTCGATACACAATACTATACGGCCAATGTACATCGTGCCTCGTTTGCTTTGCCCGCTTTTGTCCAGAAGGTGAAGAAGAAAAGCAAACAAAACGAATTGATGTTTTTTCTATCCTTCTATGTTTCAGGAACTCAATGAAAACAAAGATGACGAGAACAAAGAATAAAACACTTATCGAGAGCAACTTTAGTTACTATTCTGTTACTCTTTTTAATAATTGATGCTTACTGTTCTACACTGCGAAAAAAAAAGTGCCCTTTGGTGAGGTTTAGGGCACATGAAAGAACTCTAAGTGCGCCTTAGTCACCGTGAAAACAACAAACAGGGCACTTTCATGTGTCCT